GACGGAGGATGGACTTAAAGCTAGGGAGGCACATCAATATTTATAGTCTGCATCTGGGTGGTCGCAGCCTACACTCAACCCCTTACTGACTATTTACCTGCTATACTAACAATTCAGTGTCTTTGGAGTGGGAACTCCGTTTGACCTTGAAAACTAACTTCCCTACTCTCTTTCTGTCTGGAGTCATCAGCTCCGTCAACGGACTTATCAATGACTCTCCTATGTGCATAGCTTAGAGTACATAACGGAGATAACTAACTCGACCAATGAGGTGTTATTAACCAATCATGAACTAGTCTTCCAGATGACCTAGTTTATGAATGTAAATGACATCCCATGATATACTTAGTATAGTTGGCCTGTTGGAGTTCTATGGTGCAACAATGAATGAACGTGAACCATGTGGCACAGTAGAATGCAACAGTGGCTGTGCAACTCAGTACCAAGACTGTTGGTGATAGATTATGAAGAATAAAGTATATTGTAAACCAGACCAGATATGTTAAAAAAGAAAATAGATTAATTTTATACAATTGTTTTAGCATTTGATACTCTGCAATGGCTCCAATATGTTTTTATGATCTTTTCTTTAAAGTCAGCTGTACCATATGTACATCCCTCACAATATGCTTTTATCATTCATTCTGTCTGTATGCAATATTTCCCAATTAGTATAGCTTTGACTGAGTTTGAACATTCTGGTACTATTTTGTATAAGGCACCAATGCTCTATGGTATATATTATTTCCTATTTTTTATAATTAGTCAGCTCATGCATGTTGCATTCTGATACCAAGACTACAAAAATTACACCAAAACTTGAGCTTTTAAAACAAGTATACCATTCTTTCCAATTCCAATTATAAACTAAAAAAACTGTACTTTTATTCTATGTAACTTATATGATATTTGGGCAGTTTTTTGAAATTATTTGGACTGGTATTTGATGGGTTATACTCTTTTGAAAACAGGCTTAAATGAGGTTCACACTTATTCCTTAATGCACTATACTACCTGTACCTCCTCCTACACACAACAATATAGGTACTAGTACCGGTACAGTACTAGAAAATTTTTCAAGTGATTGTAATGGGAAAAGAGAAGTTACCCCGCCATTGTGTAACTGAAGGCTTGGCAGAAAACATCGCTTATGGTCAATGCAGGAGCGCGTGCTGTTCATCACCATACCACCTTCCAGATCAACGAATAATAGCAGAATGGCCCCGCCGGATCTTATCAAACGTAGGTAAATCTCAAGTCATATATAAAGAATAAGGAATTTGTTAACAAGAAAATAGGAAAAGAGATTACTCCAAGGAGGCGGGCCACGATCCTTACTATGCGTCGGCTTGGGTTTGAGTACCAAGCAATAAGAGCTCATACCGGAGTCGCCATTTCAACTGCAAATGGCATATACTTGCGAGCGGTACGAAATGCAACAGCATTAGCCAGACAGGAACTACAAGCAAGACTGGCTCAAGCTTCTACAGAGCGAGGATTGAATATCCTAGCTCACCCAGAAGCCAATTCAAGTTCTTTGATGAATGACTTGGAGAATGGGCTTCAGGAGCTTACAGTAGGCTGTTTACCCGGGCCTGTTATAAGTGAAGGAGATAGTACTGGCTTGGGCTCATTAGAGCAACTGGGAGTTGCTGATCAGGATAGCTGGGTATTGGGGCCTCCTGAAACAGTCGGACTCGGATGTCTTGTAGGGGGCTCTAAAGAAGAGGCCTTGGAGAGAGAGATTCTGGGACTCTCAGAGATAGGGTTTAATACTCTGAGAGTCTCAGAAGAGGGTGCCAGTGATTTGAGAAGGAGGACTTCCGGGTGGAGGTAAGTGCTACTTGATATAAGAGAGAGGAGAAAAAGAGCTAATTTGGGATTGAGAGAAATTAGGGATTTGAGAAAGGAGTGCCGGCCGGATGGACAGAGGCAAGCAGAGACAGGGAGCCCGGCCTCGGCTGACAGGGTCATGCGGATTCCGGGGGCTGGCTTAGGTGTTCCAGCGGTGCTGGTGGATGCTCTGGAGTTGGAGGTGGAGGATAGTAGTATTTCGGGAAAGAGTGAGTCCAGGAGTGCTTGCTTGGATTCAGTTGCTCCATTCAGTTCACTAATACAAGTTATCCTTGTTCTTCCAGTTCAAAACAGAGAGAGGACGATTCTTACCACAGAAACCATTGGTCAACTGGATAGTTCTACTTTTCTGAATCCTGCCGGAGGTGAAATTCCGCTGCTGCCTATGGGCTCAGGAGATGTTGATAGACTAGAGGGTACCATGGAGCAAGCCATGGTAGATGGATTATTTCAGGAGGGAAGGGCAGAATTGAATTCTAGGAAAGATTTGAGCATGGCAGAAGAAACATCTGAGACTATGGAGCCTGAGTCTTTATCGAGTCTGGATACTAGTATTATTGAGATTATACAAGTGGAGGACTCGGATTCACCTAATCAAATTTCGCTTTTAGAATTAATATCTTCTAAATGTCTCGATTCACGACCTCGCTCCGGTCGTCCTACTATCTTATCTGAGGTGGATAAAGATTATCTTATCCGTATAGTTAAATGCAATGTTTCTACCCGGCGTATGAGTCTTGTGGATATCCGTAGGGAGTCTGGTCTATCTCATGTGTCTAATACTATGGTTTGGAAGACCTTACACCAGCGTGGTATTAAGGCTTATCGGGAGGAATTTAAATTTATACTAAAGCCTGAAAACAAAGTAACCAGACTCGCCTACTACAATGAAAGAAAATCATGGACTATTGAAGACTGGGCTAACTATGGCTTCACCGATGAAATGTCTATTGAAGTAGGAGGATTGTTTGGGTTAAACCTTATATGGAGGGATAAGACTGAGCGATGGCACAGCGACTGTGTTGGAGCAATGAAAAAATAAGGTGCTTCAGTCATGTGCTGGGGTATGATTGGATGGGGATGGAAGGGGCCTTTCCATGTGTGGGAATCTGAAACTGATGATGAAAAAGAAGAAGCAGCAAAGACTATTGCTTTACTAGAAGTAGAAAGGGTTATGGAAGAAACTCAACTGAATGAGGATTGGCGGGCATCTGCGGAGTGGGTACAGTTAAAAATTGTGGAGCAGCATGCATATAAGGTGCAATGGCATTTGGAAAAGAATGAGAAAATAGCGAAAAAGCGGATACCACAAACCTGGCGAGCGAAGAAATATAAAATAGAAAAATACAAGCGAGGTGATGGGAATGGGGTAGACTCCTGGTGGTATGTGAAGGCTGTTGCCCGACCGATTCTATGGCCTGAATGTCATCGCAGACTCAAGCAAAATCTATTGTTTATATTGATGGAGGATAATGCACCCTCACATAGCTCTCATTATACAACCAGAGAGCGAGAAAAAGAGGGCATTAAGAAGGTTAATTGGCCTCCTAATTCACCTGATCTCAACCCTGTTGAGCACATATGGGCTCTTATGAAGAGTCGTATTCAAACTCGACGAGGGGTTGAAGGGTTAAAAATGTATCTCAGATGAATAGTATATTGATGAAAGAGTGGGATCGTATTTCAATTGAAGAAATTAATAAAGAAGTAGCTAAACTGCCTACTATCCTCGCTCGCTGTATAGCTGTTAATGGTAGTAACAATTTTCATGCATAGTCTCCCATTACCCCTCTACTCCCCCCTCCCCCCCGGTGTCTTCTTTCTCCTACTATTATTTTAACCACAGATTTTCCTATTATTTATTATCTATTTTAATTTTCTTTCTATAAGCCTGCTTGACTAAATTCATTTCTCTTGCTCTTTTCCAATAGCAATATTGATGCTGTACTTCTACTAGATTTGTTTACAATTGCTTCCTTTAGAGCGCTCACAGATTTACCATAAGGGATGTTTTTCCGCCAAGCTCTAAGTTACACTATGGTTGTGTAACTCCTCTTTTCCCATTACGATGACTTAAAATTTTTTCTAGTACTCTACGCTAGGGTCTCTACGCTAGGGTACGCTACAACCGCGAATGGTAAATACTTGGACTGTTTCCAGAAACCGCTTACAGCTGCAGCTATGACTACCTCGCTCAACGGCCCGAGTAAAAAAAAAAATATCGGAAAAAAAATCAATCTCCTTCCCTTGCAAGCGGCTTCGGCGTTGGTCGCGGAGTTGAGGCTTCCTGGGTCGGGAGATATCCTCCCATTCCTCTTCGGTCCGGTGGGTCCGGTAGACTAAGGCGATGCAGGGCTCTTCGTCGTATGAAGGAGGGTCTATCGTGGAAGGCGGGTTTACTGCATGATGGAACTCTGCCTGCCGGCGCGGATATCGCTCGATTTATGGAATTGTTTTTCGTTCCAACCCGAGGTGAAAAATAATAATTCAAAACCCGAAACAAAACAAGGACAAAAGCGAAAACAATAAACCCCTAAAGAAAGACTCTATATAAAACCGTCAAATCCCACGTTTCAGAGTGAATAGCGGTGAAAACACCTATACAAGTAAGTAGCCGAGTATCGGTACCAGTACACCCCGTCCCATAGGAGGGGGGAAACAAAGAAAGAAAGGAAGAATGTAGGAAAAAGAAAATATAATCTTAAACCCGAGGGGTTAGGTTAAACAATGCTACAAATATGATACCCTGCGCTGGTTAGCAGGCCTACGCCAACTGCGGTAACCACTCCGTTTATCAAAAGAAAAAAAGACAAGATTGCATGTACTCGTACGGTACGAGTAACGTAAATTAGTGTCACCGCGCGGCACGTATTACCGGTTTATCACTGCGCAAGGAGAGGAAAGGGGAAGGAAAGTTGCACCGGGTGTCACGTGCACCGAGAAACGTGAGTCGAGTACAGTACAGTAAAGGTACTGTATCACAAGTATGGCGATCCAAACAAATAAGGAAGAAAGGACAAGATGGAATGAGCAGGGAACCCCTTTAGAGGAAAAAGAAAAAGTTGGACTAAATTTATAGATACCGTAAAGGAGAGCACAAACAGAAGAGAAGCAAGACAAAAAAACAAAAAAAACAGTACCACACCATGGTTAGTCACGTAATTCTATGCGTTCGAAGGTCGTCATTGGGATCGCGAGATGAGGAGAGAAAAGAGGTGATAGGGATGGAGGAAAGAGAAAAATGGAGCGTGGAACGGGATTGCCGATTGAGCAAAAGAGTGAATTTCAGGTAGAGGTCTGCATTATGGGAGGCTATTCTGCAGCGGTAGACGTCTGCCAAAGAGCAACCGACCGAACAAGACACAATAATAACAAAGATAGTGGTGTTTGCTAGCACATCCACGACACTCTAATCTTTATGCAATACATTCGCCCTGCAATTCACCCAGTCAGCACCAAACTCAGGTATATACTGGGAGAAGGGGTGGAAAAAGTGGGGGGGGGGACTAACCTTCGGAGAACCAGCTCCAAACTATCGGTGCTAAGGCTCCTCCCAGGAGGAATCTCGTCCACAATCCTCATGATATTGGCAAACAATTCCCCACCCTTATACGCCAATACAGCAGGCACGACAGCTGCGTCCATTTCTGCCTCGCTGTAGTGCAATTTCACAAACCTCGTGGTAGCGTACCGACGAGCGAGCGTGTTCAGGCAGTCTTCCACAAAGCGGGATTCTTCCGACTGGGAGAATCAACCAACAATCAGCAACCCTCCCACCGAAGAATGGCAGACAAATAAGGGTCGACAAACCTTATCATTGTAAATAGTGACTACTACAACCGTCTCCGATGACACCCTCTCCACAGCATCCAAGTACCCCAGCGCATCGACGACCTCAACACGGCCGTACTTACGCTTGCTAGGCGAGTGCCGGCGAGTATTCGACTGGCCGGTCTTAAGTTCCTGCATCCGGTTCTTGCGCCATGTCCTCACAAAGTCTTCCTCGCCGCTCTCGACATCGCTGTTACGGTCACTGACCCTCGGTGGAGAGGAGATCCCTCGTGGTCGGGACGACTGGGAGTACCCGGTGTGAATTGTGTTGGCGGACTTTTGTAACTTTTCCTTACGTAGGGCGGATTCGTAGGATATCGCGTCCGAGAGCACACCTTTAACTCCCTTTTTAAAGCACAGCCATTAGCCGGATGAAGGGGAAGGAAGGCAAGCGGGAGAAGGGAAGACAAACAGTCTGGAAGCTCCCGGATAAATGTGAGGAATGTTTGAACATCATATCTCGATCGCCGGTTCCTGGAACACTGCTACCACTGGCGGATTGTCTCTTCACTCCTTCTCTCTCTCCTCTGTTCAGGCGTACAGTCTCGCTATCGCTATCAGGCTCAGAAGCGCTTCCCGAGTCGTCCTCTGGATGGTGTTTCGCTGGTGCTTCGCTCCTTAGGGTGTCAAACTCGTCCATCGTAACAAGAGGAGGGAGGGGGACGGGGGGGGGGTGTGAGGTTTATATCGGTGTGGGGACAAGGGTGAGCGATGTCTTTCCTTTCGAAAGGGCTACGGTATGTGCCTATCCACTCCTCACTTGCTTGGTATGGATGGATGTGTGGGTGCGGTGTCAAGGGTGGAGGGGATGGGGTTGGTTGGGGAAGGAAATAACGTGGTGGTTATGCTTGCTGCCAGCTGCGTCAGATGTTATGGGAAGATGGTAGGGATGATGCGAAACAGTACAACAACGATGCGCCTATTTTGAACAGGGTGTTATGCGGTGTACTGGAGCACTCTAGTTGGCGAGGGTTACGCCTGCCCTGCCGAGAGTGGGTGAGTGAGCAGGTGATCAGTGTGGGTGTATGCAGACAGCAAGGACGAGGACAAAGAAAGAAGCTGCTCAGACCTTGAAATCTGTGTACTGTACTCGGTACGGTGGGGCAGTCAGTCCAGGGAGGAGGAATCTCTCCATGAGACGGGTGGTGTAACAGATCAATGAAACGACCTATAGAAAGCTACCCATTGCGAGCACAGCATTGTTACCGATGCTCCACTGCAACGCCTCTACCGTGCCTTACTTATCTGTCCGGTACGGTACTCGAATAGCCTCCAATACTTGTGCTCACCCTTGCGGCACTCGCACCGTACAGAGTAATTATCCCAAATCCCGAATCCACGAAAGAAGGGGGAAAAAAAATAAAAAAAATAAAACTGTGCGGTGGAGTTCGCCGTTGGCTATATGGACTAATCATACATGGCTAGCGCAATCCAATTGCAGCCCTGGTTCCGCTTCCGGCTTCACTTCCGGTCCGATATCCACCACTCACCCAGAAGGAGCCAATCCACTGATCATAACACTGCCCCAATTAAGCCGCCCGATCCAGCCAGCCCATCTAAGAGCCAAAGCCAAGAACCAGACCGCAAATCAATGCCGGTATTGTGCCGGCGCCCTGTATGAGCCTCGTATAAGTCCGGCAAGTGTAAGATAAACGCCGTCCACCTGTAAAAGTACTAGCACCGTACTCGAGTACAGCACTTTATGAGTATGAGTATGACATTCGGGCACTAGCACCGGTACTCGAGTACTGCAGGGCTCTGCGGGTGTTGCTGCAGTCGCGATACCGTACCATGTTCACAGAATCATATGGTACGGTACGAGTACTCGTACACATCCCTCAACGACCAATGCCCCGCCCCACTCGCCACCACCATTCTGGTCCGTGCTTCTCCTGCCGTTCTCCACCTCGAGACAGAGAAAAAAAGAAATACCGGCCAGAGCCGACTTCGACTCCCGCACGTGCTCGGGTACAAAGTATGGGTAGCCAGGGGTTCTCGAAGGCCCGGACTTCCCGCTCTTACAAGTGAGGAAACGGAGGAACGGGTTCGGTAGCATGGAAACGGCGTACTCGTACCGTACTAGTACTGTGAGCAAGAAGCTTTGATACTTCTAATCCATGAGTGTCCGATCACCCACGTCCATACCCTATTTGCGGTATAGTTTACTCCCCCTCCTCCATTCATGGAGAACCCGCCCACCAAGCAAGCAACACCCCGGGCACTCTCGAAACGACCCGATCAGATCACGGAGGTCATGGATATAAACAGTAGCCCACTCCGAGACACCGCTTCATCTCGAATCGCACGCCTCCCCATCATCGCACGGTGGAAGGACACCGGTAGGGGTCAAGGGGGGAAGGGTTCTAGAAGACGGGGTGGAAGCGCCTGTGCCAAAATAGGGTACGGTGGTGTGTGTCGTAGGGAAGGAGGGGGAAATTGTTCGAAGGAAGTGACACAACACGTTTTGTGCCTTGCACTTTGGGAGCGGTACCGTAGGCGCTGCGGTGTCCGTCCACTGGGGTGGGATATACCGGTATACCTGTAAGACGCATAAGGCTCCCCCCATCCCTTGACACAGTGAGCGACAGGGCAAATTAGGTTATCATACTTGCACTCGGGGTGAGATCGCAGTCTGAGGGTGCGGCGCGCATTCACAGGAGTCATTTCCGTAACTTGAGTCGGGTGCGGAGGGCGGTTGCAACTTGCAACACGTGGGAGACGTTGAGGATCCTTGTTCTTTTGGTCATCCGCGGAGCTAATCTCATCAACAACCAAATCTATTCTCATATCATACCGGTAGAGACTTTGGCCCTGGATACAAGTACACCCAGACACCAGTGCTTCCAGTCGTCCCGTCCGTCCAAGACGGGGTGAGGACGACGAAGGACGGGACGGACTGCCTTGGCGCCGTCCTGGACGGGGTGGACGGCCGTCGACTACGGACACGCAAAGTTGCGCAATGGGACAAATACTAGTACCTAAACAAGTTAAGAAATAAAAATAAAAAATAAACATAAAAAAGAGCTGGCGCTAGAGCATCCTACCAGGGGTAGTAGT